GCCCTCCCCTCAACCCCTCCATCCCTCCCTATTTACAAAGACTTTGTTTCCATTTTTTCATTTTCTCATATTAATTCCCTTCCCTTCTTTCCTTTCCCCGACTCCTTCCCCTTCCCCTTTGCCCCTTTTCTTCCTATTTCACATTATGTATTATACCTTTTATTCCTCATGTACACTTTCAGTTTCTCACAATAGAGAAACTATTCAGTATTTACACATGTGTGTCCTATTTATTTCACTTAAGAGTATTGCCTCAATGTGGATCCATGTAGCTATAAATGTCTCTAATTTATCATTTTTTATGGCTGAGTAATACTCCATTTTATTAAAAAAAATCACATTTTCTTCATCCAGTCTCCAGTTGATGGGCATTTGTGGTGTGTCCAAGTTTTAGCTATTACAAATTGTGCTGCTGTGAACATGGGTGCACATATATCACTGCAGTATGATTCTTTTAATTCTTTGGGGAAGATATCCAGCAGGGGAATACCTGGGCAAATGGTACTTCCAGTCCTAGTTCTTTGAGATATCTCCATACTGATTTCCACAGTGGTTGCACCAGTCTACACTCTCACCAGAAGTGGAGCAGTGTTCTTCTTTTCCCAAAGCCCCACCAGCTTTTGTTATTACATCAAGTTCTTTTCCCCTGCTTGAGAAGTTTCCCGCCATCACTTCTGTGAAGTTTTTTTATGTTGTCTGCACTCTCTTCTGTTTCTTCATTGACTCCATCAGTCTTATGTTATTCTTCTTTGCATTGTCTAGCAGCTGCTGGATTGATATCTCATGGTCCCTTACTATTTTTAAGAGATTTTTCTTTTCCTGGTCACTAATTGCAATCTTATCTTCTATATCTGAAATTCCATCCTCACATTGGCTCATTCTGGTGTGTAAACTTTCAATGGAGTTTTTCATCTCCTGGAAATCTATTTGCATCTCTTTTATGGATTCCACTTGTTTCCTGTGTTGGGATTCCATCATGTTCCTCAGCTCCTCTATTTTTTTTTCAATCTGTGTCCTCTCTAGATTTATTAATCATGTCTTGCAGTATGGGTACAATCTCTGCTGTTATCTGAGAAATTATTTCTGATTTCATTTTTTGCAGATCCTTTTTTGTTGCCAGTTCAGTGAGTCCAGGTGGTTGAGTATCAGATTGTTCCATCTTGTTTCCCTTTGAGGTTGCTTTAGGTGATCTGGAAGTCTGGTATTGAGACTTATTCATGTGACTTCTCATTTCAGTGTGTATGGGGGGTGTGTGCTGCTCGTGCTTGTGTGGCTCACCTTCTTTGTGCTGGGGGCACTGGTATGCCCAAAAGATTCACGTCCTCTGGGCTGGGGGATGCTGTGCTCCTCAGGGTTATCATATATTCTATTATTCTTCTAAGACTGTCTAGGATATCTACTTCTTATTTCAAGGTAGAAGTGATGCACTTCCTTGAAGGGAGAATATCTACAGAAATTACTTGAAATTCTTATACATAGGAGATTTCAGAAAATGTATCTTTAAGAGGAGGGAAGGGAAACTCACATTTATTAAATGATTCTCAAGGAGTAGACTTTCATTAGGCCGAATCATCATCAGCCATACAATGTAAGTGGTATTATCTGAATGCTATGTAAAAGGAAGGCTGAGAATTAGAAATGTAAAATAATTTGGTACAGCTGATAACTGTCAGTAACACCTAAGATTTATAAACTGCACCAATGGTTATCAGGAAGAGGAAACAGAAGTTCTCTGGTCTACCTGAAAGATTGAAACTCTTTTCTGAGATAAGTAGTATAAAGCAGGTGTTGGGACCACAAAGATGGAACTGGAAAGGCACTAGCTTTGGTTGTGATCTAGGCTTTTGCTAGCGTTGTGACTTTGATCAAGTTACATAACTTTTTTAATTTTTGACTCTTTAATATGGAAAATGAGATTGGTAACTTTGTTCGATTGTTCAGAGTATTAAATGATTAATGTCAAGTCCTTGGTATAGAGTACGTACTGAGAAAACATCAACTACTCTCATCATCATTAACAAAAATAAGAGCAGTTCACCATTTGAGAAGTAGGCTGCATGTGATCTCATTAGAATGTCAGATAAGCACAACTGTGGTTGTGAAATAGTATAGCAAAAAAGAAAAATCCCTGGTTATTGATGTACTAGATTTGTGTATGTCTTTTAAATGGTTCTAGTTTCACCTTACATGGAATAATCAGGAAAAGTGTAAAAATTCAAAAGCAAAATAAAAAAATTTTATCAGTTAGAATGTCAGTTATTGTCAGAGAAGTTAGCCATTTTCATTCTCATTCCCCAAAATCTCCACCAATCAAAAATGTGTCCCAGGCACATATTACTCATATTACACACATTTTGTGTAATATGAAAGATCTGATCAGTGCCCCTGCCTCTATGGATGCTGTGCTAATGAGGTTGATATCGGATTAGGTGCACTACATGAAAAACACATCCAAATATTTAATTTCTCATCCAAAATCAAAACAAAGTCTTGCTGAAAATGTTCTAGGGAAGATAGTCTGACTTGATAACATAAATTACTTACTGAACTAAGGTACACTTAAAGTTTAGTGTATGCAGCATTCTGAAAACATAGCTAGTGAAAATATTTAATGGAGACTAATATTTGTTATTCCTTATGGAGAAAGGAATAATGTGTTTTCTTATTTTTTGCAAAATGTTTTTATAAAATATTTCTTTTCATTTGTTTTCATTTCAGTGTGAACAAAACATGTTACTCAATTCTCTATCCAATGGTAGCTACAATGGTGAGTTAGTTTTAAGGAAAAAATGAGTCTCTCCTCTTTTCTTCCTCTTACCCTCCCTCTCTTCCCTATTCTCTGCTCTTTTCCACCTTTTCCTCTCCATTCTGCCTCTTCTTTCTCCTTCCCACCTCCTCTCTGTTCCTTCTTGCTTCTCTTCATCTTTCTCCCTTTCATTTACTTAAATGTTTGAACTGCAGAATGAAATTTATGGTATCAGAGCTTTAATATAGACCAATTTTTCTTCAAAGTATCTTTTCTTTGAAAATATTTTGGAGTTTCACCCAAACAAGTCAGTAATTTAAAGCAATTGGAGGTTGATATTTATGTGAAAAAAGTAAAAAAAAAAAAAAAAAAAAGTAAATCTGGTAACAGCAACAAATCTTTTGATTGTGGTACTTGTTAAGTCATCCATATTAATGTTTATTTTCTTGAAGTTTATCTTTCACCTTCAAACTTAGGAGTTGATGTGATTTTATCTCAATATAGAGAAAATAGACACAGAAGAAAGTGATGTGGTACTATGAAGCATGAATGAAAAACATTATATCGTTTAACTAAATGATAAAACATAGAATGGAATTAGAACAAACTTGCATGTTTAGCTTTTAATTTGATATTTACTAACGTACAAACATTAGAAGTAATTAAATTATTCATCATGGAGTTTAAAATTATAAATTGATAAACAAAACTTGCTCAATTTATTGTATAGTGTATATTTGACTGATTCCTTCTAACTAAATGGAAATTAAAGTTATTTTTACTGGAAATTGAGAAATATTTGTTTTAGTTTTTATTTTGAATTTTGGAAATCTTTTAACTCAATAATTCCATTCAAAAATTCATTAGATGTTTTTTAAAAAGTGATGGCATTTATTACTTTAAATATATAGTTGAAAAAAATATATATAGTTGAAAATAAGTAGTATTCTTAGCAGACCTAAAGAAATGACACAACTTATCAACGAATGAAATGGCACTATATATGTTTCTGTTACTAGATCACAAATATGAAGAAATAAGTCAATGCTGAAAAATAGATAATTTTTATTAAATTCTTGATTTTTTAAAACAAAGGGTAACCTGTTATGAATATATCTTTAAAAAACAATGGCTTGGTTATTGTCTCATTTCTTAACATTTTCTTCTATTGATACTACATTTTTATTTACTATTATTTCCCAAAGAATTTGGTATTTGTTTTTATTATGGCTGTATCATTAGAGACAAAAAGGCAATACATGGTCAATTAAAAAATAAATGGAAAGAAGATGCAAACAAGGGAGGGACAGCAGGAAAAAAAAAAGAAGGTAGAATTAATGAAAACCAAACCATTATCTTCAACGAGAGGGATAAATACCTCATCAGTTTTATAGGGGGATATACAGTATATGAGAGAGAAAAAGATCAAAGAGGACATTTTTTAAAAGTCTGTTACATTGAATATGAGCATGATGTACAAGAATCTTGACAAAGGTCTAGGAAAAGGCCAATGGTTCCAAGTGCTCTGATTAGCATTCTTGTCTTTGGCTGAAGCTCTCCCTGCATGGCAAATTTGGGCTGTTACATTTTCCCTCAGGTAGCTGGGAAAGACTTCAGACTCCAACTGTTTCTCTGATGACCATAAGCTGGGGGCATAATGAAAATTTCAACACATTTAAAATAAGGGAAATTATACCTCCAGGTTTTCTGGCCAATATGCAATTAAGCTGTAAATCTTTACTGAAAAGAAATTTACAGCAAAAAAATAACCAAAAGCCTCCATATATTTGCAAATTAGTAAATACTCTTTGCAATTATCTGTTGTTCAAAGAAGTCATAGTGAGAATTAGGGGGGAAAGGTAATTAAATCTCATAAGGGAAATGCATATCAAAATTTATGGGGTAAAATAAAGTAGTACATAAGGAAAACAAACCTGCACGTATTAGGAAAAAGTAAAAAATCAATGATTTAATCATTTATATCAAGAACTGAAAGATTCAAAATGGAACCAATGAAAGTAAAAGGGATGAAATAATAAAAATAGAAATAGAGGTTAATAAAATAGAAAAAAGATAAAATTTAAATCATCAACAACATCTCAGTTTGGGTCTTTGAAAAGAATAATAAAATTATTAAACACTAAAAAAACTGACTAAGAAAAAATGGTAAGGGACAATATTAGGACCAGAAAAAAAATATAACTACAGATCTTATGGCTGTATAAAAGATTATACTATAGATTATATTATAGATATCTTGATACCAGAAGAAAATTTGGATGATATTGGAAAATTCTAAATAATGTATGACTTTGCAAAAGTGATTTTAAAACAACAAAAAAGATTTAACCTATAACCACAACAAAAAAGATTTTCCTATAACCACTAGAGAAATTACATCATTAGTCCAAACTTTTCCCAAAAAGATTATTCTATACCATGGTGTCTTTACCAGTGAAATCTACCAGTGGAGAAAAATAATACAAAATTCTTCATAGTGGCATTGCTTATTATTGCTTATTATTCCCCAGAACTGAAAAACAGCAAAATATCCATTAACATAAATAATAGATAAAACATTTACATGAGTTGATTAAATACATATTATAATACCCACTGTATTACAGCATATAATATACTCTAGATAAATATTATAGACCAGAATAGAAATATATGAATTAACATCAGCCCATACCACTGATACACCTCAGATAGCGTCTTCTCTGGCTTTTTCTAACTTCTCATGACACATTTACTTTTTCTCACCTGGGTTCTCAGAAAACACTTGCATAATACTGTTACAGTGCTTTTGAGTCATAACTTATTGAATAGGATATTCTCCCACTAGACTGCAAACTTCTACAAGGAGTTCTCACCTCTGCCTCCTGGGACCAGCCCCAACTGTCACAGAACAGTAGCTGATGGGCAATCACCTTTGCGTGAAACTTCTTGTCTCCCTTGGTCCTTCCGTAGTGGTCAGAAGAAGTTATTCAGAATATTTCTCCTGTTTCTTCTTCTTCCCTCTTCTGATATTCCAGAACAGAATGTCCTCCAACATCACTCTCCCTCTCTCATTTAGTCTCATTGTCCTGCTCTCAGTTTTCTATGCTTTAAATGATAAGGTGAAGTTTTACATTCCATCTCTCAATTTAACCACTGAAACGTCTAATTCTTGGTTCCATTACCTTTACATTTTCATTTGTATAATTTTGTATTCTATCCTTAGTCATGTTAGAAATGAATTAATGTGACTCTCAGACTGTTTGGTCTGCTGTATGACAAATGATGACTCCAAAGCTTTACCACTCCTAGTGGGGGAAATGATAGGGAGCCCGGGTGAGGTGGGGTGGCTACAGGGAATGAAAGATGAGTTTAGGTTGGAGGTTATGAGATAAGTTCATCATGTGAGAACATCCAGGACACATTCAGTGGGTTTGAGGGGCTGCATAATAGATTTGGCAGTTACAAAGCAAAGGGAGATGATATACTCCCAGTAAGGCAGCACGCGAGAGGGAAGAGAACACAAAATATCGCTGTCCCCAACAATCTTTTCAGAAGGGGAAGATTCGTAGTTGAGCACATGATAGAATAAGCAAGAGATACGAAGAAAAGCTACACAAATTATAAGATAGAACAATGTTATTTCTCTAAATGAAAATAAAAATTGTTTAATTGAAATCTATTAACTATATTTAGCAGTGTGGGTCCTCAAAATACTTTAGTAGCCTTATGCTAACCCTATGGGGCACCGTGTTGAGGTCTCCCTAGCTAACTGGTGATTTTCCAGTTGACCTCCGCTGCCTACTCACCTGCTTCATTTGCAGGTGTCCTCCGCCCCTCAACTCACACTTTCTTTCATACTTGAGTATTCACCAAATATTTTTTTGCATTTATTGGACATCTTCTAAATCCTGGGTACAATAATAGATACTGCATATTAAAGGATGAAGAAAATAGACATGGCTTTGGCCATGATGGATCCTAAACTCTAAACAAGCTCTTTCTCTCCCCTAATCAGTAGCCCAGGTATATAAATTTCCTATTGCTGCTGTAATAAGTTGTTACAAACTTAGTTATTTAAAACATCACAGATTTATTATTTGACAGTTCTAGGTGATACAAGTCTGAAATGAGCCATAGGGACATGAAATCAAGCTTTTGGCAAGACAATATTCCTTGCTGAAGCTCTAGAATAAAATCAATTTATTTGCCTTTTTCAAATTCTAGACTCTTTGCATTCCTAGGCACACTATACCCGAGAGAATGAATAAAAGCCCCCCCCTCCAGTTTCAATCCAGCTGGATGGTATCTTCCTTTATCAACACTTCTGACTCTCTTGTGATTATATTAGGCTCACCTGAGCAAACTAGGATACTCCCTCATCCCAACACCTTTAATACAATCTATAAGTTCCTGTTACTATGTAAAGTAACCTGTCCTTGGGTCTTGAGAGTTAGGAGGTGGGTATCTCTTGGGGGGAAGGGAACATTCTTTCTACCATACCAGGTCTCCTGTGCTTTGTTAGGACTGTCTCCATTTTTACCAGACTTTGGAAGACTTCAAATTATTAGTTCAACTTGTTAGTGTCTCTTTGATTGTAAGTTTTCTGAAGGACAAGGGATCCTCATCTTGCTTGTTCACTGCTGTACTTACATTTCCTAGTCTGGTACTTAGAGTAAGTACTCAATGCATCCAAACTAACCAACTAGTTGAATGAGTGAATTCATGAATGAGTGAAATATTTAATAATATGTTCACATTTTCCAAAGGTAGTGTTGTTTGTTCTAAATGTTTCTTGTCTCTTATTTTTTGGGAAATTAGAGATGTAAATTGGCTTTTTAGTAGTTAATTGGTATCAACAGAAAATACTTAGTTTTTAAAAAAATTACAAGTGACTCACCAACTGTCAAGAATTTTTTGAAGCACATGAAAAGCACCCCTAAATTATGCAACTATGAATACTTTTTAATTAAAGGAGTTAATGAATATTCACAAGAAAGAGCTGGCTTCCATAATCTGGA